CTGTAGCCTAGATGGTGGAGCCATAATGGGCTAAAAAAGAAATTATATTATATTACAAAAATAAACTTACCTGTGGGAAAGGATCTTTTAAGAGTACTGGCACTTTAAGAAAACTTCCAACAAATACACCAAAATACTTTCAGAAACACAATAAGGCAAGAATAGGCACCAAGGCACTTACATCAAGCTTTTCTTGGCTTTAAATACCTTCATTTCATGTCTTGCATTAATTTAGGGTAATATTCCATTTTTTTGCCCATACTTAAAATGGCCACCACAACGCACTATTCCCTTAGTTCCCGTCATCTGTTTCGGCCTCAAACTTGTGTGAGTGTCCTCAGATTGCTGCAAGCCTCCACAGCCTGAATACCGGGTTTGAGAGGAGGGAGCATGGGGCAGCTACCAGGGACCAAGGTAAAACACACAGGGGCCGTGGAAACAGAATGCAATAATGGGGAATGATCCCAAGATAAATATAGGAATCTTCTGAAGTCCAAGAGGTCCAAGGTAAATAATCCTTTAAAGCAACAGACCTAGTAATCTGTACAATCACTTTTTAAAGAGACATCATGCTGAAATAAACGTACATAAATACTGAAGGAAAGAAACAGAACTTATCTTTGCAGGGAGCTCTCATCTCCCTTCCTAAGGACTGTAGGACAGGAAAAAGACAGGGGATCATAGGAAGGGGTCCTCCTTTACAGGTTTGAGTGTTTTTTCCCGTCCTATCGGCTGTAAGGAGCGGAGCTAACTCATGATGTATATGCTGCCATGTTTAACCAGGAAATACAATTAAACAGAATACGCTGAATATTGTAGTTTGACAAAACTAATACTAAAATGAAGTATTTTAATTGAGATTATGATTCCTATGATCCCTTGTCTTTTTCCTGTCCTACAGTCCTTAGGAAGGGAGATGAGAGCTCCCTGCAAAGATAAGTTCTGTTTCTTTCCTTCAGTATTTATGTACGTTTATTTCAGCATGATGTCTCTGTACAATCACTTTTTAAAGAGACATCATGCTGAAATAAACGTACATAAATACTGAAGGAAAGAAACAGAACTTATCTTTGCAGGGAGCTCTCATCTCCCTTCCTAAGGACTGTAGGACAGGAAAAAGACAGGGGATCATAGGAAGGGGTCCTCCTTTACAGGTTTGAGTGTTTTTTCCCGTCCTATCGGCTGTAAGGAGCGGAGCTAACTCATGATGTATATGCTGCCATGTTTAACCAGGAAATACAATTAAACAGAATACGCTGAATATTGTAGTTTGACAAAACTAATACTAAAATGAAGTATTTTAATCTCAATTAAAAGACTCAAAAACAGATGTCTCTTGATCTGAGTAAATAAATTCCTAAATTGTAATGTGTACTTCCTGATTTTCCGAATAATATGTAAAGTCGTAAACCATTGGTAAGACCATATATTGAATATGCTGTGCAATTTTGGGCACCTGTTCTAAAGAAGGATATTATGGCACTAGAAAAAGTGCAGAGGCGGGCTACAAAATTAATAAAAGGAATGGAACATATCAGCTATGAATAAAGGTTAACAATTTTAAACCTATTTAGTTTAGAAAAACGTCGCCTGAGAGGGGATATGATAACATTATACAAATATATTCGGGGCCAATACAAACCATTGTGTTGAAATCTATTCACAAACCGGACTTTACATGGGACACAAGGTCATGTGTTTAGACTGGAAGAAAGAAGATTTTGTCTAAGGCAAAGGAAAGGTTTTTTTACTGTAAGAACAATAAGGACGTGGAATTCTCTGCCTGAAGAAGTGTTTTTTTCAGAGTCCATACAGATGTCCAAACAGCTACTAGATGCATACTTGCAAAAACAGAATATTCAAGGATATAATCTTTTAATGTAGGGTAATAACTGCTTGATCCAAGGATAAATCTGACTGCCATTCTGGGGTCAAGAAGGAATTTTTTTCCTAGCTTGTTGCAAAATTGGAAATGCTTCAAACTGGGTTTTTTTGCCTTCTTTTGGATCAACAGCAAAAAACAAATGTGAGGAAGGCTGAACTTGATGAACGCAAGTCTCTTTTTAGCTATGTAACTATGTAACACAGTGGGCGCAGCTGTATTGGTGTTAGTTGGTAAAAACGATGCTGATGTATTGGCTAAAGCAATAAACAACAAAATATTATGAGATACAATTTGTAGAGAGAAGTTAGTGTTCATTATATTTTAAATAAAACCCTTATTGATTAATTCAGGGCTTGAGTAAAGTATAAGAAATAAATGAGACGGTACCTAGTTAATGGAGATAATGTGTTAATAACTGTTGTCAATCGTAAAATGCATATAAAGCTTTTCTCTGGGGGTTTATTAACCCACAGATCTACTTGCTGACAGTTACACTGACTACTGTTATATCATTTGGTAGGTTCAATCCTAAGGAATTAACCAGATATGAATATTTTCTAATGTATAAGTAGCTATAACGTTATATTAACACAAATAACTGCATCCACACACCAATTTCTTTAATTATTCAAATAATGTACACACATCAAAGTGAAACCCCTGCAACTAAAGGAAACAGAATTATATATACCCAATATCAATGTTTAATAACTGGGTAAGACTGAAATTTAAACCCAAGGAGTTTTGTTTACATGTATATGTTTGGAAACAACTAAAATACAACTTTTTAAAAAATGAAGACAAAAATGACCACTTTTTACAGTGAATATTTAAGCTAAAGAATTATTATTGTGTCGTCACTCCAGCAATGATTTATGTTTTAGTATTCAAAGTATTTTCAAACTCTTCAGCTCCTAAAATAATGCCTGAGACCAGTGATGGTAAACCTATGACCTCTCTGTTGGCATGTGAGCCATAAGATCTCCACATTGTTGGAACTGCTGTGTGCTTGTTTGCAGCTCTTGCTGTCCGGTCAGTGCAGGAATTATCAAGGAATAAGGAGCTGATTTGTGGAGTAGTGTGGGGATCTGTTTTGGGCAGGGAGAGGCATTAGATACAGGCCAATATAGGGATCTCTGGAGTAATGTAGAGCTGGGTACGTAAATAGGAGACTATACAGCCAACATTTTCCATGTATTTGTGTGTGTGTGTACATATATGTATAAATATTTAGTATCTTGTGTATGTGTAAATCCAAGTAGAAAGCCACCTTGTGGGATGTCAATCTGCTAGGTAAACCTTTCACAATATACTAGCTAAAAGGACATGAAGTCAAACCTCTTTAGTAAATCCTAGCTGTGCTATATTGTTTAATATCACTGACAGTATTTACTGTAAATGTAGCCATGTTTTAAAATTGTACTCACCTTAGGACCCTGGGCTGCCAGTAATCTTTGCCCTTGATTCATTAATGTGATTTATAATTTCTAAATCTATAACGTTGATCGGAGGATGTCAAACCATGTTCATGCTTATAGAGGGTGACTTGGCTGTTACGGATTGATTATATGATTTATTTCTACAAATTAGTAGATTAATATTTAAACCTGCAGTTCTTAGTTTCATTTCAATCAACTCACTACATTGCTCGTATAATTATATCCTGCCCTAAGAAACAAACACATCAACCTTGGCATGCAAGAGCCACACAACGCCATCACAAACGTTCCTGCACTGCAGTTAGTATATCAAGGAAATGAAAATCCTCGTCCCGCACCTCTAATGACCAGTAATACGCTCTATCCTTTCTTTTATCATAATGACTCAGGTTTTGCGGGCTGGCTATCTGTATAGTGACAGGTATGCTGTATTTCTACAACTCTGCTCTCTCTGTCACAGCCCAATATACTGCCATTTATTTCAAGGAAAAGACTAAGGATCTGCCAGTGAGCAAGTGTTATCTTCCCTCTTTTCTTCCACATAGTCAATAAGTGCCTCATTGATATAACATGTCATCTAATTCACATTCTCGGCTGCTCAATGAGTTCATATATTACACAGTACAATAACTTGGCTCTTTTTACTGAAATGGTCCCTTTATAATTAATCATTTGAAACATGCACTGTCCAAATGCATCTAACTACTTGCTGGAGAACATCATATAGCAATTTGTAATTGCTGGATCCTTGCTGGAGAACATTATACAAAAAACAACTGTCAGGGGGCTTTGGAAAGGTTTATACAAAGCATGCTCCTTTAAAACTGTAACATATGTCTGGAAGAGATGTTGTATGATGCACCCTAAAAACACATTCCCCCATTTTACCAATTACCGATTTATTTTATTCAGAAAGCTCTAATCTGTTGAAAGGGATTAATTCTTCATTTGTGTGTGAATATGTTTGGAGGGATTATGCGGGGGGGCACAGATTTAAATATATTAAATATGTACTTTTTTTAATAAAGAAAAACAAAACAAAAAACTTTATATTATATCCCCCCCTTCCTTCTTACCTTTAGCCTGAGAGGGGGGCCGTGCTGCAGTCCCTGGCGGTCCTAGTGGTGAGTGAACTCTAGCCTGCGGGGCTAGAGTTCACTCTTGCAAGATCCGACCTCGCAAGAGGAACCCGGCGGAGCTGCAGGTAAGAGTTCCCCCGGGTCCTCCACTCCCTCCCTTCCCAGCTGGTGGCCGCATGTAACTCCCCACTGGCCCATGAAGGTACACAGCAGTGCCGGCTCTGCATGGGCCAACAGGGGAGATTCTATGATCTCCCCTGTCGGCCTCGGCCCAAGGCCATCGCAGCCCAATGGGCATTTTCCCGGTATGCCCGATGGCCAGTCCGGGCCTGTTTACTGATGCAGTTAAGAAGTCAACACTGTCTATATGTATTATGGGAGAACTGTGTTTTAGATGTAACAAACAAAAACTTGGGCATGCACGGACAGCATTCACACCACACTGCCAATTCTAAACAGCCATTGTTCATTACCCAGCAGTCTCTTATATATATATATCTGAGACTTTTCTCGACCACATCCATGTTCTCAAATTGAAAATGATTTAAAGATACACAGCTCAGAGAATGCAGAAATGTAATATTTCATTTTCCAATAATTTCTAATATGGTGAACATCCAACAAACAACAGTATGTTGTACATTACGTACACGTTTTTGAAACAGTAAAACAGAAAATGTAGTATATTTTAAGTAAAGCATTGTAAGTTTAAATATTGTAGTAAATGTGTTATTTTTATAGCAAATGTTGCTAACACTGGAGGTATCCCACTCTAAAGAGAAAAGTCAAAAGAACTATTCTAGATAACAGTTTTAGGCTTCTTTGTGCTAAATATAGATAAATAAGTCTATCAGTTAGCTCCTTTCTTGATTTTGTTTGGAGGTTAGTCAGCCGGCCTTGATGGATTTCTCAACATTTCACATCGATCTAGTGACAAGATGAAATGAGAGCTTTTATGAACATTTGCTAACAAATGACAAATACCAGTGGTGGTAGGTCAGTGGGGTCAGTGCCCCCTCCCACTTTATGCATTACAAAAAATAAAAGTGAAACCTATGTATGTGGCAACACAACAACTAATGATAAGCACTAGCTTACTTATACAGGGATGGGGGCAATTTCCACCCCACGTGACAGGTGGCACAGGAATGTACATAGCATAGAGACACAGAGCATCCACCTCCCTTCCTGTTTGCTAAAGCAAGCACTTGGCAACTGCTCAGCAAGTGCTAACACTTCACATTCAGACATCACAGGTGGCAGGGGAGCTGCTGGGATCACTATGTATTCTCACTGCACAGCTAACTCGACACCCTGTACTAATGCCAGGAGACCAGATGTAACATCACCAAGGCATCAGTACAGAGCTACAGGGGGCTGTGCAATCAGAGCACAGACTTATCCCAGGGGCAAACCACTAGACACCAGAGATAACAGAGATAAATGTCTAAATAAGAATCAGATATGTGCATGAGTGTATATGTCAGTATGTGTGTGTGTAGAAATATGTGTGCATTGAATGTGACTGTGTGTAAATATGAGTGTGTGTGAATATGTATTTGCGTGTATATGAATGTGAGCTGTTTGCATATGTATGTTTGTGTGTGTTATATGAATTTGAGCCTGTATAAAATGATTTTTTTTTTCTTCAAATCTACAGTTTGGGATGGGTGTTCAATTTACATTACTGCCTCGGGTGCCATACAACCTTGGGACTCCTCTGAATATAAGAATAAGTCATTCATGATTAGTTGTGCAGTTTATTACTTCCTTACAGTTAGCTGGAGAAGAAGACGTGAGGCTGAGCAAACTATCATAGTAAAATTTTGAGGCATTTTTTTTAAAAGCTCAATTTTCTAAGACATGCTTAGGATGCTCTAACAGAATCCTGATGTCACAGCTTTGCATTATACTGTTATATCATTGATGATCTAAAAGGCAAAGCCTGTGTATTGTCCCATGTTCTAGAGCTGTCACAGGGTAACAGCATCAGGGGTAGATTTGTAACCACTTTAAAGGAACACTATAGTCACCTAAATTACTTTAGCTAAATAAAGCAGTTTTAGTGTATAGATCATTCCCCTGCAATTACACTGCTCAATTCACTGTCATTTAGGAGTTAAATCACTTTGTTTCTGTTTATGCAGCCCTAGCCACACCTCCCCTGCAGGGCCGGTGCAAGGATTTTTGCCGCCCTAGGCAAAAGTAAAGTTTGCCGGCCTCCTCCCCATGTCACATCACAATGCCCCACCCATATGATCTGCTATGTTAACTAACGCCAGTGCTGCAGTGCTGCCGTGTTTACATTAAAAGGCCTGCAGGGACAGGCTATAGACACCAGAACCACTACATTAAGCTGCAGTGGTTCTGGGGACTATAGTGTCCCTTTAATGTGAGGTAAATTAGAGATTAGTGCCACGAATAATATACTAGATTGCCTACTTACAACCAGATGAGGATGATGATGGGCTCTAGCTGCAGTCTGGCTCCACTGGTCTGGTGTAGAACAGGCTCTCTGGAGGCTGTTTGTAACTGTGGTCACAAAAATCAATGTTCTGGGAGAACGGGAAGCAGCTCCATTTTTTTAAGGCCCTTTACACAGCTCAAGGTCTGGGTCCCAGGGTCCACCTTCATGTTCCACCAATGAGTTTGTTCACAGGGGGTGGAGTAGGGGGATGTCCTGATATGTGTGTAAGGAATGCATTGTGTGAATCTGTGTTTGTATGTGTAAGGGCTGTAAGGTGTGTTTCTGTGTATGTACGGATGCAGTGTGTGCGTCTGTAAGGGGTGCATTGAGTGTGTGTAAGGGGTGCATTGAGTGTGTGTAAGGAATGCATTGTGTGTTATTGTGTGTAAGGGTTGCATTGCTTGTGTGTGTGTGTCTTTCCCCTCCCTTTTAATTTATTCCCCACCTTTCAATTTATTCACCCCTCCCTTTCAATTTATTCCCGCACCCTCCCTTTCAATTTATTCCCCCCCTGTCAATTTATTCCCCCCCTTTCAATTTATTCCCCCCACCCTCCCTGTCAATTTATCCCCCCACCCTCCCTGTCAATTTATCCCCCCCTTTCAATTTATTCCCACCCTCCCTTTCAATTTATTCCCCCACCCTCCTGTCAATTTTTTCCCCTCCCTGTCAATTTTTTCCCCCCTCCCTTTCAATTTATTCCCCGCCCTCCCTGTCACTTTATTCCCCCTTTCAATTTATTCCCCCCCTCCCTTTCAATTTATTCCCCACCCTCTCTTTCAATTTATTCCCTACCCTCCATTTCAATTTATTCCCCCCCCTTTCAATTTATTCCCTCCCCTCCCTATCAATTTCCCCTACCTCTGTTGTAGCGTGGCCGAGCTCTCTATGGTCCGCGGGTACAGGGAGCTTTTGTTTCCTGTACCCGGCCGGACTAAAAGGAAGTGCTAACTTCCTGTTAGTCCGGCCGGGTACAGGAGACACATGCTCCCTGTACCCGCGGACCATAGAGGGCTCGGCCACGCTACATTGAGGGAGTGACAGGAGGGAGCGCTGAGCGCTGAGTGCTCCCTCCTGTCAGCCCCTCTCCTCATGCTGCACCCGGGCGGGCAAAGCTGCAGCCGCCTGAGGCTCTCTAGTCCGCCTAACAGGTAGCGCCGGCCCTGCTCCCTTGGCTATGATTGACAGTGCCTGCATGAAAAAAAAACTGGCTTCACTTTCAAGCAGATGTAATTTACCTTAAATAATTGTATCTCAATCTCTAAATTGAACTTTGATCACATACAGGAGGCTCTTGCAGGGTCTAGCAAGCTATTAACATAGCAGGGGATAAGAAAATCTTAAACAGAACTTGCAATAAAGAAAGCCTAAGTAGGGCTCTCTTTACAGGAAGTGTTTATGGAAGGCTGTGCCAGTCACATGCAGGGAGGTGTGACTAGGGTTCATAAACAAAGGGATTTAACTCCTAAATGGCAGAGGATTGAGCAGTGAGGCTGCAGGGGCATGTTCTATACACCAAAACTGCTTCATTAAGCTAAAGTTGTTCAGGTGACTATAGTGTCCTTTTAGAGGATCAGGGACACTGCACCCAGACCACTTCAATTAGATGGTGTCCCTTTAAATGAACAGATTCAAAATGCCAGTGTCCACAGTCTAGCACCACACCATCTTTGAACTTTCTTTTTTTTTTTTTTTTTATTATATTCTTTTTCTCTATTGATATCATGCATCCAAGCTCTGAAATATATGCAAAATTACTTAAAAATACGAGTTAGCTAATAGACTGTTAAATGGCCTGTACATTTCGCACAAGATAAGATATTTAGAAAATATAACAGACTGTGCATGAATAGTTATTGGATGCAAATCGGAAATTATCAGCTCTCAGCAGGCACATGTTCTTGCACAATACCTGCCAGTATCCTGATAATGTATCTGCAGAATAGATTTTGTAATGTGAAAAGAAACCGGATGGGTGTTTTACACATTCATGCATTAATCTTGGTTTTCATTTGTAAGCATAATAATTCTGAATTAAAGCAGGCAGCTCTCTGCTGGGCACTGTGGCTAAAATAAGTACAATAAACTGGTATGAGCCAGTCTTGTCCCACTGCTGTTGCCTGGGGCTACAGATAGAATGATGTAAAAAGAATTTACATGCTAGGTATTAGGTGCTGATGAAAGTTCCGAGTGAGCGGTTGCTTAGTGATTCAGCACAGAAGCCGTGTAAGGCGGATAAGTACGAGTTACTGAATAACAGCTGTACTTGCCTTGTAATTCAGTCATGCATCCCCAAGATTTTCCACTGCTTAGAGTCACTTTCAAAGGAACCTAAAAAGAAATGAATTTTAGAAGTATTTTAGGAAACATCTCTCATAAAATAGTGTTTTCTTTTGAGTACAACAGAATATCATACAAAGATTTACATCTCTTTTATTCAGAGCACTGTTTGATGTTGAATATTACTTTTATTAATTAATTATGAGAATGCAAATGAAAATAGCACTGAATTTAACAGGTAAATATCCAACTAGTAACAGCTACATTATATCTGTCTTCCTTAAACATCACGTCTAGTAGACTGGATAGGTAACAAGACCAAGATATAGTTTAAAAAGAAACAAATTCATTATTGATCATTTACATTGGCCAGAAGACAAGATTGCAGCAGCCCAGAGATAAATGTACACTGTGTAAGAATATTGGTATAATATTCTATATAGATCTATGGTAGGTTAAAGGGACACTCCTGGCACCAGCACAACTTCAAAGCATGTGATGATTTGACCTCAATAATATGCTGTGCTTTTTGCATGCTCAAATCATATCACATTTTTGCACAAAAAAAATTAAAAAAATTAAAGGAACATTAAGAAAAATGCAACAAAATAAATATTACCGACGGCAAACTGAAATGCTGGTCTCAATGAGGCGGTCTGGGTGCAGTGACCCTGTCCTTTTAACACTGCAATTTTCTCTTTTTTTTTTTTCTTTTTTTTTTACACACTTCAATATTTACATTGTAGGCTTAAGTCCACCTCTAGTGGCTGTCAATATGACAGGCACTACAGGCACTTCCACTGCACTGGACAAGTAAAACACAGTGATGTGAAATGGAAGCCCCCCACAGGAAAGTATTGATTCAACACATGCTCATTAGGGCTCCGATGCTCCTTGTAACGCATTCCCCATACTCCGGCTGAGTATATCTGTTATGAAGCTCCCAAGTCCTAAGTGAAAAAGTGATTATAGCTCTCAAGTCCCCAAACATCAGCCTAGACTTGATGAAGGGGTAAAACAAATCTGTTTAATCTGGCCAACTGGTCCACTTATATACAAAATCAGGAGCCTGGAAAACACTCCCACAAAACACCCACAAAATGGTTACAAATTCCAGAGTCAGCATGACTAGGCATAAAATACAAAATATCAGAAACACATAAAAATTTACATGAAACATATAGGAACTTTCGGGAGTTCCATAAGAAGGAATTACCAAACTCATCCTCTGGCTTGTTGATAGTATTTGTTTTTATGGTTCATACGAACAAACCTACCGAACGCCATTCTGCTGACATATGTGGATAAGAAGCAGGCATTCATCAAAGTTCAGTGGTGTTCGGAAATAACAATGTCCGATTGTAGTTCCATGAACTCGACGACCGAACACCGCTGCCTGAATTCTTGCGAACAAGATGGCCACCAACTCAGTTCCCACGTGTTTGTGCATATGAACAGTGGCCACGCAACCAGACAATTACAACCCTCGATGATTGAGGTGTCAGGAGAGTTCAATAGGGGTTACAAGCACAGAGGTGGTCCGCAGTTCGTGAGTATGTTCGGTTCCCGAACAGTACATCCAAACCCCATGGACCATAGTCCTGGGGCAGGAGGCTAGCTAGCAGGCTCCTCAAAGCCAAACTATTTGTTGTAAAAATTTATTTTTACTACAGATGACTAATAAGATCCAATTCTATATAATAAGATCCCATTCTATGTAATCTACCCTATAACAGGTATGGGTGCCTCCAATGATGAAACTATAATTTAGACGGGGCTAGCTCAATGGATGATAGCGTCAGCTGAGAGACCAGGCACTCTTCATATCAAGGATTATTTGATCTGGAAATTGAAGGTTAATTATCATGCTTTTCTATTCTGAAATAATACTATAGGGTTGACCAAAGGACTAGAGTAGAATATCTCATTCAGTACTCTATAAATCTAGATCTATTAATTGATAAATGTGAATGAACACTAATTTGCCAGGATCCTTCTAAACCATATGCACATCACTCTACATATTGTAACATGGAGCAACCATTCCTACTATTTATATCAATTCGTTTTAATGGATAATTTAAAATATATAGTATGCTTAATAAAGGAACTGTAATACTGTGGTATGATGTACTATTAAAATACAATTTCCATGTTTAATAGTAAGATTATTTTTAGTATGGATGCTTGTTTTTGGTTTTTACACATGCCTAGTACCTTGTAACTGTGTTATGCTGCCACCTACTGGTGCATATAATTTATCATTTGAGTGGATTTAGGTTTAGTTGAAAATTGATTGTGGACTGATTTTCACCGGAAAATCTTTATGCAGGGTTTCTGATTAGGGTGTCACTCATTTCTTCAGGTGAGTGGCAAATTGGAAAGCTGCTTCAGATCAGACATCTATGGTTCAATGCAAAGGACAACTTCAGGACCCTGGTGATAGTTCAGAGAACAGGGAGGATGGCGTGAACAACAAAGTAACGCCGAAGAAAAACTAAACGTGAATTGCATAGAAATGTATGGTTTGAACTATTTATGAGCATAAATAAAACACACAGTGACTGATACATCTGCACGCAACTAAAAAAAACAAAAACAAGCAATTAAATGCCACAGGCATTACGCACTGTTATATGTATGGTGGCAATGAAGGATTAAAGCTGCCCTTGATGTAGAGTTATAAAGGTCAGGTGAAGTCCAGGACCCCTGCTTAAGTTTCTGGGCAGAGTGAGTCAGGTAGGTCTGTAGGCCGATGGCTGTTGCTGGGGGGAACAAGAGCTGGCTGTGGATTGGATGCAGACCGGGAGAGAGAGACTCACGGGAAGCCAGGTAAGAATAAATCCAAGCAGCGCAAGTGAAACTCCTGTCAGCTTTCCGGGTGAGGAGTAGCATGGAGGGACCACCGCCCCCCCTCCCATTTTTAAAAGTTATTTCTTTATATTTATTGACATGGTGTTATAAAGCACAGGGGGCAAAGTCATCCTCAGGGTCATGTTCTGAGAAAGGGTAAATGGTTATAAATAAAAAGCGGTCAGTGCAGCGAAGACCGACTGGCAATGTGAAAGTTGGTGAAAAGTTAAACATTTTTAAAGCAAAATTAAAAGTGTTATGATATTATGGTTGTAAGCCCCTTAAGCTTGGAAACAACACCACGGCCTGGCCCACTAAAATATAAATGAACTGTGTCTGTGTTTATTGTTCGGCCTAAGTTATATTGCTTACTATACATATGCCTGTAGATGTACAATAAAACCTAAAAAAAAAGTGTTTGTTTAATTAATATATCTCCTCCATATCCGATGAACTACTTTATATGATTAATAATCAATTTGCCTAAGCTAATTTAAAAAAAAATTATTTATAAGGAGAAAAAAATAAAGTACCTTTAACTCAACTCCTTTAACATGCTGCAATGACTCCATGATCTCTTTAACAAGTGCTAAAAAAGGAAATTTGGTTTAAAGAGCTTCATTATTTGCAGAGTACATACATATTTAAACAGTTTCATTGCTTACAGACACCCGACAGATTAGAATTAAACAACTACTAGAGTTGCTTATTTAAGATGTAATAATAATGAACCATTAAAAACGTGTGCGAATGCAAGTCAAAATAATAATAATCTTTTTATTCTAACAGGAAAGATACACTTTATTTTGTTTCTAAAGATCCAGTGTAAATATGTTTTATATTTAGTGGCACTCAGATCATGTACAGTTTCAGGCAACATTTGGGCAATGAATTTGTTGATAGTCGTAGTGAAAAAAGGTAACACTCCTTTGAAAGTGAAGAAAAATGTTAATGCTTTATGAGTATAGATCCTGTCATTTCCATAGTACTGATTTCAATAAAATTGGGGATAGAAACCCCTCCCAGACGTTTTAGATTGTGTCTGCTTTCCTGCTTCTCAATGAGTTGTACTACAGTTTTCTGAGAAGTATAGAAGAGCCATAATAGCGTTTGTGTGCGAGATTGTGGCTCCAGCAGAGAGGCTTCTCAATGAGGAGACTCTGATTGGAGTGTACTGGAGTATTCCCTGGCACAGGCACAAAGTCTGTGCTGTTAAAGAGGAGGCAGCAGATCACATACCCCAAAATAAAATATGCAGAAAATAATACTTGCATGTTTTGTGGGAGGTATATATACTAGATGTTTGTTTTTTCATAAACATTTTTCAATGGAGTGTTCCTTTAATGCATGATATATATCTGCTAAAGGTACATGATGAAAAGAAAATAAATCAGAGTAAATGTGAAAAGGTTTGGGAATACTGTTGGTCAGTACCTCTAGATTTTGTATTGATTTGAACAGTTCCTCTTTCCCTCTATTTCTTAATGTAATTTCAGACAGTGGAAACAGAAAGTGCTCAGATCGTTTTCTATAACCTTCCCCTTATTTGTAAGCGTTAATTTATCTTTTTTTTCTCACCTCATCAGCTGCTTAAAGGAGCCAATGACAATTCAGTGAATGTATAGCATCATGAGAGTTCCATGAGTCAAAGACTTACTTAAGCTCTGGAACTGTCACCACTGATCTATGTCAATACCTAACAAGTCAATTAAGACAATTAAAGGAATGATCCTAGCACCATAACCACTACAGCTACCTGCAGTGTTTATGGAGAAATGAGTGCCGTTGTGCTCCCTCACATTGTAAGGAGTCAAACTATTTTAGAACAGTTTGAGGTTATACCTGTGGTCCGCCAGGTACTGCTCCCCACCTCCACTACTGATGAAGGAGAGTAACGAGTCATAGATATCATAATATTGGTCATAATAGTAAAAGCATTATAATAATAATAATTTACAAAATGCACACACTCTGAAGCCATGAAAATGTACAATTACATAGATACTAAAAGCTATATAAATGGCACTTTCGTAAAAGATCAACTTATTCTTAAGAAATAATATCTTCTCAATTACATACTATTGCTCTGTTCCAACCCATTCTCAAAGCACAACAGTGGTATCCATGCTGCCTAAATCCTGGGTTGTTGCCTTGAGGAATGCATTGGGAACTGTCCCAAATATCCAGATAAGAGCCTAACAATTACTCACTCTAAAGCAGAATACAGATTAAGCCTAACAGTACTGCACCAATACTACATAGGCTATATAGGTGTGAGGAGGGAGTAAGAGAGACAGGCTTGGAGGCAGGTGATGACGAGAAAGCTGCCACAGATGAGGTTTAGTATTGGCCACAATATATTCATATAAAAAATGCCAATGTCAAAATGTTGGTATTAAAAAAAAAATATATGAGAAAATAGTGTTTTGAACATAGGACTTACCCAACGATTGTTTCCACCAGCAACCTTTTTAAAATTTAGGAGCATATCCAATTGGATAATAAATTATTAACTATGGTGGCGGCAAAAAATGTGCACTTTACTGAATTTGTGAGTTCAAAAGTGCAATGTATCGGTCCAAAAGAACCTTTATCAAAATCCTGTCTTTTAGATAGAAATATTACCCTTTGATGTGCCGACTTGAAATAAAGGGTCTGCACATGTATACCATGATCAATGTGCTCCTTTATCCATGTAATAGTGCATGTAAAAACCAGTATATGCAAAATTAAAAAAAATAACGCCTTCAAGAAGCAACAATTGTAGATATTCCACACCAGCTCTATGTCTATCAATGGAAAAACTGAGAATGTGCTACTTTACCAACAATGAGATTGCATATACACATAAGTTAGTCAATTTAGAGCCTTAGCGGGAGACCCCATTAAAGTGGAGACAAGGTTCAAATCAGTCGCTAAGTTTTACCCATGGAGGATAATGGGAGTTGTTAGAAATTGCCTTTTTAGTAGAAGCTGTCGGTAACTCCCAGTTGCTTCTGGTGAAATTGGCAGAGCTTAAACCGCTTGCTAAAAGTAGTGGCAGGCATTTTATCAGACAATGCCTGGCCAGTAAAGTTAGCAATCAGACTGGCACAGAATCTCGGTTGTAAATATAAAACATGTCCACATTTTAGTTGTTGACCGCATGGCAGCACATCCTTTTTTATTGGGTTATAGAAACATAGAAACATAGAATGTGACGGCAGATAAGAACCATTCGGCCCATCTAGTGTGCCCAATTTTCTAAATACTTTCATTAGTCCCTGGCCTTATCTTATAGTTAGGATAGCCTTATGCCTATCCCACGCATGCTTAAACTCCTTTACTGTGTTAACCTCTACCACTTCAGCTGGAAGGCTATTCCATGCATCCACTACCCTCTCAGTAAAGTAATACTTCCTGATATTATTTTTAAACCTTTGTCCCTCTAATTTAAGACTATGTCCTCTTGTTGTGGTAGTTTTTCTTCTTTTAAATATAGTCTCCTCCTTTACTGTGTTGATTCCCTTTATATATTTAAATGTTTATATCATATCCCCCCTGTCTCGTCTTTCCTCCAAGCTATACATGTTAAGATCCTTTAACCTTTCCTGGTAAGTTTTATCCCGCAATCCATGAACCAGTTTAGTAGCCCTTCTCTGAACCCTCTCTAAGGTATCAATATCCTTCTGAAGATACGGTCTCCAGTACTGTGGGTTATGGAGCTAGTTACTAAGACTGCCAATTAAGGAAGAGGTTGTCCTATCTATACAATAACTATTTATTGTCCTTTCTGCTGTGTGTCAGTGGAGATAAGTTAATTAGTTACTGCTGACATGGTGAGTAATCAGAAAAATAAAATTACAGAAAATATGGAACAATGTTTTTTTCCTTATTTCTACATTTATATGTACTCATCCTATTTACAATGAAAGCTTTTTTTATTTGTTTGGAGCTAACTTTTACTTACCTGCAAATTCATAGATTTGTGAATCTTCAACTTCAAACAACAGTTCATCATGGATCTGAGCAATAAGCCTAGAAGAGATCGATCATGTTTTAGCATAACCGTTTTGTCAGCCATATTGTGATGGTGAAACCTTTATACAGCAATGGTAAATATTGCAAAAATTACATGAGGCAAAGGAGAATATAATAAGTATTTATTACATTCTGTTGTAGGCAGCACAGAAATTGGAGGCTATGCATAAAAAATATTCAGAAACAGATATATATACAATGGGTTACAAAACCCGAAGAAAAAAAGAATATTAAGTAAATTATGGCATCCCTATACCAGAGACAGGAACAGTATTGGTATACTTGGTCCCTATGACTTGAATATGTAGGTGAGGAGTATTTGGTTTGTGAGGGGTCTAACGTGGGATTTGCTTGGGAGATTGCTGGTGCTCCCTCTTTCCTTTGAGTCTTCTATCTATATCTGTCTTTCCCCCTTTCTGTCTCCCCCTCATTTGTCTGCTCCCATGTCTTCCCCCTGCTTAGGGGATCACACCTATTTATTCCTTGTCTTTCACTTTAACCTTGGTAGAGAAACTGGTTTTCATTTTGACATGCGCATGTCACGGCAAAAAGAGGGCCAAATGTTTTTGGGTTTGCCTTTTGGATCAATAGGCTAGGGTACCTGGGGAACTTGGAAATATTGTGCAAATGTTATATACAAATATTTAAAACACTATATGGAGGGTACACTGTTCAACACAATGTGTTCCTTAGCCATGTACTCCACTGACAAAGATATTGTGGGCTCATCAATTAGTAAATTAAAATCACATTTAAAAGTTCACACAGTAACATTACTACAAAAGGGGGATTTCAATTACAGAAAAACAAAAACCTCAGTAACTGTTTGTTTGTTTTTTACCAATAATGAAGAAATTAAAACATTTACACAAACTGTGCCAAATATTTTGCAGACACTGAAATATTATATTCACAACCTCAGCTGTTCATTTTGTAAACTAGATCGGTCTACAGCAGTAAATGGAGTAGCGCAATTAGCAGGCCTCCAATTATACAATTTACCATGAAAACTTGGAAGGTTATCTGCTAAACTGTGGCTTGTCATGAGCTCACAATTGACTTGCATTGTTTTAGATCAATAGAACTTAGGCTGAGGGGAAAAAAAAACATATGTATATTTTCCATTGCTGCTCAATTACTGTTAATTTAGCTTAAAGGGACACTATAGTCACCTGAACAACTTTAGCTTAATGAAGCAGTTTTGGTGTATAGAACATGCCCCTGCAGCCTCACTGCTCAATCCTCTGCCATTTAGGAGTTAAATCCCTTTGTTTATGAACCCTAGTCACACCTCCCTGCATGTGACTGGCACAGCCTTCCATAAACACTTCCTGTAAAGAGAGCCCTACTTAGGCTTTCTTTATTGCAAGTTCTGTTTAAGATTTTCTTATCCCCTGCTATGTTAATAGCTTGCTAGACCCTGCAAGAGCCTCCTGTATGTGATCAAAGTTCAATTTAGAGATTTAGATACAATTATTTAAGGTAAATTACATCTGTTTGAAAGTGAAACCAGTTTTTTTTTCATGCAGGTTCTATCAATCATAGCCAGGGGAGGTGTGGCTAGGGCTGCATAAACAGAAACAAAGTGATTCAAACCCATATAGGCACAGTAAAAAAACAGTAAAGAACATCAGCATTTGCACAAGACTTTTTTTTCCCCAAGCAAAAAAATAATAATACATATATATGCAAACCAGCCTGAAGCCCAATCATTAATGCTAACATTTTTGTGTATTTTAAACCTTGCAGACAATAGGGAAAAATAAAAACCGCAAAGATGATTATGAGGAGAAAATGTTCATATACATAATCTAATATATGTAAAAGTTAAACTACCATAGTCCTAAAGAAATTAGCATTTAAAAAAATACTTGAGAAAAACATTTTTTTCTTAAAGTTCTTCAAGAGGTACATAAAATTAACTCAGTGCCCTCTTTCTTGTCTTCTTTGGAGAACGTTCCTCTCCAGCTTGTTGTTTTTCTTCCTTCTTCCCTTTAGCACCTTTGTTTGCCTTTGCCTCTGGTTCCTTCTTGGCAGCTGTTTTATTGTGTTTTGCTTCAGGTTTAGGAGGAGCAGGTTTCGAAGGCAACTGTGTCGATCTTCTTGTAGGCTCTTGTTTAGTTACCATTCCTGCATCCTCGGCTTCTGCACCTTCTGGAGACTTTCTCTAAGGCATGATAAGTTCAGGGGTTGCGGCCTCGCCCTGGAGTTGCTGCTGATTTCGTCGAGTAGGGTGACGATAATGATGATGGTCGTTATGGGGGGAAACGCAGTCGTTAATTTTGCTTTTAACTAAATAAAACTCTGCATATTGCACCAAGCTACTAATAAAGCTGTGGGAAACTGTGGCACGTTTTTGACTGCAACCTATCAAAACATCTTATATAATAAAGATACATGTAAATGGTTTTTTTTATATAGAAACTAAGCATTAATGTCTGTTTGTAAGCACGGTGTGGACATATATATGTAGTTTTCAATACATGCATGTGATGTTTGGCAAGTCAAGTGTATGAAACACTAAAGGCAACAAAGGCACAAAATGTAACAACATAAATCTTTTAAAAAATCTGTTGCAAACACCCAAGGGGTTTAATACATTGAAATGTAAAATAAAATGTACATGTATGGAGGGCTCAGAAACTAACAAGACCTTTATTTGTGGTTTTATCATAACATAGAACATGCAAAATAATGTGACAAAGTTAGTGGAGGCAAAGAAGAAAGATTTTACAAGAAAAGCTCATGTAAACATGTAAAAATGGAACTGTAATCGTTTTTTTGTGTGTTTGTTTGTTGAAGAAGTTTGTACTTAATAGCTCAATTTTTATGACAAGCATGAAATGGTTCTTTACGATTTATTGTCCTTTATGTATCTGCATGTTTGTCAGTGAATGTATCTCTGTCTGTGTATCAGTCTTTGTATGTCTGTATATCTGCATGTCTGTACCTGTGTGTGTCAGTGTTTGCATCTATATGTGCGTCAGTGTGTGATTTTCTCTCAGTGATAAATGAGAGCAGCCTACACACACATAAATTTTTGATGAAGTGGCCCACTGCGGAAAAAACGTGGCCACCCCTGCACTATAGTGTTCCTTTAAGCTACATCTATGTTCTGTTGCCAATCAAATTTAACAGATAAAAAACAATACTTAAAGTGTAAAAACTATGGATGGTCTTTGTCTGGACCACGTCTAGCCCATAGCTGGATAATTAAGCACAACCTCATTCCTGTTTTTGTCAATCTAATTTACCGACCATCCTCAGTACAATGTATCCCACAGAAGGGCAAACTGCAGACATCACGACAGAGGAGAAGAAAATGGCTGCTCCCAGATACTGATATCCAGCACAAAGGAAGCAAATATAAATAAAGGCAAGTGTCAATTGATGGAGTATATTTATTAAAATATAGGGGACATAAGAGAAGGAGAAACAGAAAAAGCAAAAACAATAAAAATAAACTGCCGAAGTAGAGAGTTTAGGTTTATTGTGGGGCCATTACATTTTCTAGAAAGAAATGGTGCTTACATGAAATGTCAGGTCCCACTCTGCTAAATATTACTTTGGTTCCAAAAAGAACGTTTATACTGAACAAATATACTTGGAAAGGAAAGAACAACACTATCATATTACTAGAAAGTCATAGAATTTCATATTTTTAGAAGTATTATTTTAATGCATTATCTTTGAAGTCATTTGGGTTTTCATAATACCTCTGAAATTTGAAATGGCATCTTTTTCACTGTCAAAATGATGCTAAAGATATATTTGTGACACAGATCATAAATAAAAGTCTGAATGTACATTAGATGTTATTTAAATGTAAAATATTTTTTAAGAGTCTAAAGATTTACATAACAAGACAATTCAAATACAGATAAAAGAACAATGTGAAGAAATGACACCGAATATACAAAATATCCTGATAATGAAAAGATAATGCAATCATACATTACATTAATGAATAACATTTCTCCATAGGATATGTACAAAAAAGATAACTAAGAGGTGGTGAGGGAAGGGAGAGGGGCTAACCAAAAGGGGAGGGAACCCAAAGCAATCTAAGTTTATACAATATATGCTAAAAACAGCCATAAATTAAGGCAGGACAAGTGAATAGTTTGACAAGGTGCATAATATACAGGAAGCAACTCCACCTACATAAAGGTAAACCCCAAAGATGAATTATCAACTACAATAGGCACTGAGTCAAGGTTAGGTCACTCCCAACAGTTACAGTGAGGGAAAGAAGTATTTAATCCCCTGCTCATTTTGAACGTTTGCCCATTGACAAAGAAATAATCAGTCTATCATTTTAATGGTAGGTGTAGTTTAACAATGAGAGACAGAATAACAAAAAAATCCAGAAAAATGCATGTCAAAAAAGGTATAAATTGGGGGGTGTGGCTGACTACTAACCGTACAAGACGTCTTTCTGTGGAGCTCTGTCAAGGCCCCACAAAATAGCGACAAAATCCGCACACAAGCGAGCCAATCCAGCAAGCAGACACCTGCATCCCCTAAGAGACACGATGGGGAACAAAATAGAAAGCCTCATCGCCCATAAGTCCCCAGACTGCAAGATATCAGACTCTCCTTTGAGAGGTCTACACCACGGCAACTCACCAAAATGGCGTCTGAGTCCACAGCAACCCAGAAGCTTCGGAGGACTCCCAGAAGGGAGAGGAGCCTTCTGACTCCCCAGGACCTGATGCAGTGTACCAGTCCTCAGAATCTGAAGAGGACTCTTCCCCTTCGACGAAAGGAGACATAAAACGGCTCCTAATAGACCTGAGGAAGGTCTGGAAGGCAACCTGCTGGAGGCCAAAACCGAAATAGGTGTTATTCACCATAAGGTGAGAGCAGTGGAGGAGAGAGATGCTAATCAAATCCGGGAAACCAAAAGCTTGATCGAAGGGTTTACCACTCAGGTACAGCAACTGAGCCGCATGGTGACCTCATTGGAGACAAGACACAGACGCCGCAACATTCGCATAAGTTGCATCCCATAGTCGGTGGGCAACGACATACTGCCACAATACACCCAGAGCCTAATTACCACTATGGGAGTAAAGGGGTGTACAGGCCCGCCACGGATCACCTCCGCATTCAGAGTAAGAAAATCTGCTGCAGCTCCCAGTCACTAGAGATATAGCGGTGAGAGCCGCGATAATGAACCATTCTAGGGTTCTTGGAACCATACGGTACGAAGGTGCCACGCTGGCGACCTATGGAGACGTCCCCTTTATGGTCCTAGCTGAGAAGAGGAGACTGGCGCCAGTGGTGAGGAAGCTGCAAGACCATTCACATAAAAAAAAGGTATAAATTGATTTGCATGTCAGTGAGTGATATAAGCATTTGATCCCCTATCAATCAGCAAGATTTCTGGCTCCCAGGTGACTTTTATACAGGTACGAGCTGAGAGTAGGAGCACTCTCTTAAAGGGAGTGCACCTAATCTCAGCTTGTTACCTGTATAAAAGACGCCTGTCCACAGAAGCAATAAATCCGATTCCAAACTCTCCACCATGGCCAAGAGCTGTTCCTGAAATTTTAAGGAGATCCAACAAGTGTGGACATGTATGAACATTTTTTGCCATTAGTCTAGTAAAAGGGAAATGCCCAACTCACGTTCCCACTGAAATTTACAATGTGGCAACGAGAGCTCAGCAGGAGATATCAGTACATTATAAAAGTGTTAAGTCAAATAAGGGGTGTGCTTAAAGGACGTACACAGAACCTCAAGAGGGATTTGATCTCTCCAAAACAGGTGGGGGATAGGAATATTGGAGATAAAAGGTTGCAGCTGAAAATACCACAACCTTTTCATAAAAACTTGGAAATATACCTTGTAGAAGCAACTAGAATGCCCTAAAATGTTGTGAAGAATGATTCCCTAAAAAGTCAAATCTCAAAATAGAAAGCTAGGTGATTGGACACAGGAAACATATGGGATGGGCATAAGAAAATATGCTTATCAATTAGTCTGTTAAAAATTGTTAAGCGTTGGGCCAAATAGAGTCAAATAATTTTTTTAAGGATCCATTACTTTTGTACAGAAATTCTGGCTAGGTTTTGACCAGTGCTCTTAGAATGGGATAATTACTCATGCTGAAACATAGGTGTCATTCGTCGTGTTCCTGAAGAAGAGGATATATAGAAAGGGGGACAAATAGGACCATTTAGGAAAATCCCATGCCCAGTTAGGAATACATAGGCATGAGCATGCTCTTCTACCTTCTTAAACAGTAGCCGCTAATCTTTAGTCTAACCCAGGGGTAGGCAACCTATGGCACTAGTGCCATGCACGGCACTCAAGGTGTCTTTGCACAGCACTCAAGGCTGCTAGAGCCAAACAGGCTCTGGCCTATCAGGAGTCCCAGTGAAACTTCAGATATCTGCTAATACGAAAAGGTGTTGAAGGACAATCCTCAATTTATGCATTGCAGCACGTAGAGGAAGTGATCTCAGATAACTATCTCATATCACTTCCTCCCAGCACTTGTAAATGGGAATCCACACTGTAGTAGAGCAGCCCTCGACAGATATCGCAGCTCCTGTCCTTGACCTGTGCCTGGCCAGCCTGGTCCCCACTGGAACCCAGGGAAGCCACCCACACTGCTAGATATACACAGATCTGCAGAATAACCCTCCCCTCATATAAATAATACTAACAGCCCACACACAAACATACACACAATCCCCACAAACGTAACCCGCTAACAATCCACATACATGCACACAACCCCACATGCAGCCTCTCACATGCAATACCCCAAACAGCCCCCACACATACGCACACAATGTGACCTATCCATCCACACACACAATTTCACAAGCAGCCCCCATACACAGCCCACATTCATATGTATCATACACGATACCACAAACTACCCATGAACATATACAATATTGTCAGGTATAGCATGGCATGTAATTCATCGCCGGAACCCACTTCCGGGTTCACGGCGCTCAGCCCCGCCCCTTTCTCTGACGCGGTCCCTCCACGATACTTAGGAGGACCGCGCCAGATTCAAAGGGCTGGATTATTCGCACAGGTGCTGCATGAAGATCAGCTGCTCTACTTCTGATCCTACCTGCTCCACTTCTATACCTCGGCTTGTAAACGGATTTCTACCTTCTCCACTTCTCGACCTCGGCTTGTAACTCTGAATTCTACCTTCTCCACTCCCAGACCTCGGCTTGTTAAAACGGACTTCCCCACTCTCCACTCCTAGTTCTCAGCTTGTTGAAACGGAC